ATATCTTCAATAATTTCCGAGATATTTAACAAAATATGTTTCGCACCCCCAAATTTGAGTTTTCATTCCTTCAACATCAATCATTGCAGATAAAAAAAATACAGGTCGAATATTTTTTTAACAACTACATTCATGCCAAATTTCATTAAAATCAGCGATTCCAACTTCAGTATATTCTTGTAAATGACCGATCATCTCACAAATCTCAATGTCAGTTTGCCGGCTCTACGTTGTTCGCCGAATCTCGTCGCACGACTTATCATAGGTATTCTAATTTCGAGACTCGGAATCGTCTATAGACGATTTAAGTTCCCAAACCCAACATAACAATTATTTTTTTAACGTTTCAAAGCGAGAATTCCTTGATTTGAACGGACAATTCAGCATAGGTCGTATGTGTATCGCGAGACGCGCCATGTTCCTGTTCTCCATTTTGAATTTTCTCTGTACAATTTGCTTTAATTTTGTCGAACTAATATGAACTGATGTTTTATGTTTTCAATTTTTATACCTTAAGAAGTTACGTTTCTTTCTCTACTTTAAGGAATAAGTAAATGTTCAACGTTTGTTATTGCAATATGATATTGCAATCGCGTTTGCCCGCTTCTATAGGGACTATTAGAAAGTGGAATTTAGCTTTAGAATTATATTATGGAACGCATCTGTTTGGCTAGAATGCTGTACATATTTTTGGGAGGAACAAACTGCAACAAACACACAGAACAGCGTCCTAATTACGTGCATCTTAACTAGCTTGCTGATGAACATTCTATCCGAACATTATTATACTCCAGCTCTTGACGAGGAGAAATGTTATGATATTTGTCGAATCATCGACAAGATGACAGTGTTTTTGCTCAGCATTGATTTAATGATCGCTAGAATGATCAAACTGTTCAACGAGATCACAAATCGATCAAATACGAGTAACAAGGACGGACGAAAGTACGTGCAGATCAGCCGATTTCTTAAAATCTCCGTACACAGTGCAATTATGTTGTACAGCCTGACTGCCTTATTGATGAATACAATACGAACATTACTACGAGTACCGCGGTTTTTAACCAGAAGAAATGCCATGAGAAATATCATCAAACTATTACCAAAATGCAGGTATTATTGATCGACTTCGATTCGATGATTACTGTGACGAAAGAATTGTTCAACGAGATCACGAATCGATCGAATCAGTGACCAAGACTTGCTGTATGCATGAAGATACACACGGATTCGCGGATGCTCGTACGCAATGGAATCATGTTGTGCACTTTATCTGCCTTGATGATAAACACCATCATATTCAGCAAAGAAGAATTTCGCGTTATTCTTCGCACGGTGAATAATGTGAGTCACGTTATAAATGGCAATGAATGAATTATTGAGAAACTAATTATGGAATTATTAGTGGAATCATATAGTAGTGAAAACTGTGAATTATTTGAGAATCAATAAAATTTAATGTTAAGCTAAAATTTTTAAAGTCCTTGTCCCTTTTCTATAGTTCCTCTAAATCATGCGATGTGTCTCTGGAATTACAGTCCAATTAACTGAATCTCAGTACAAAATAAGGATATTGTTCCGATTCATCCGCTCTCAGATGTTTGCTGAATTCAAAAATTTGACAAGGAAGATAATTTTACAATACCTAACGTATAAAAGACAAAAAGTGGTATAAATGTTAGATAAGAATTGCATGGTGACAGTGTTTGTTACATGGTGCCGGTCGGTTGCTATTGTCGCAACAAGAGATACTTGTGCTTATTGAGAGCTGCATTTTTGTGTGTATTTTTGTTTATTTTAGACGCTTATAATTAGGTCCGATGCAAAGACGAGTGGTCTGTGAGGTGATATTTTGGAAGAACGTAAAGTTCTTTTGTTTCATAAAAATAAGAGAATATTATATCTCTGCTCTTTCAAAAGAATCGCTGTTGCAATGATTTGCCGCAAACTGACTATCTGCATCAGGCCTAACGTTAACTGCTAATTGCTTGTTCTTATTTTTATAATATATATATATAATAGATTTCGTAAAATTGAAGGATCTGCCTTCCAAACAGCGAATTGTCGAAGCCAAGATTTTATATCTTTGGAATTCCACACCGCTGACAACACTCTTCAAATTTCATTTCGATCGGTGATTATTTAGTATTAAATAAACATATGGATACCAATGGCCAATGGCCAATCAAAATAATTTTAAAAAGTAATTTAGTTAGTTAAAAATTATTTTAAAAAATAATGAAATATAGATAATGATATACTTAAAATGTATATTAATATTAAAACATGGATAGAGCTCTCTGATGCATAGATGCATAATATATATCGGAATTTGAAGACACAGACGAGGTATTTATACTCAACCTAGAGTGCGCTAAAAACCAGTCATTTTTTTCCTGATTGCTTCATTTAATGTCCGGTCTATCCTATTCTTACAATTAGTCAATGGTTGTATCGATACGAATTTGACACGTATGCAATTGATGGTCACGGAATATCCCATTTTATAATAAGAAATCATCGATATTGCGCGAGAATAAATTTCACCGATGCGTTGATCGCGACGTGTCTCGAAGTCGAAGCGACGTACGTCCACCACATGGTATAACAAAAAAAAGAGCCAAACGGTACTTGACGAAGGAAAGCGAAAGTTTTCAAAGTACGTTAATTCGCTGTCAGAGTTTTCGAAGTCCGTGTATCGATCGTACGTATGCACAGGATTCAAAGTGTACGCGTTCACTAGGAGTCCATGAAACAGTCCGTATGGTATAGCGACGAAGGGGACGTAAAAAAATTGAAGGCTAGTAACAACAGCGGCTACGGGGAAGGAGACGAATATTATCTGCAGGCATGCGCACTGCGTATCTCGAGTTCTTAAAGGCCACCAGCTAGAGAAGCTGGCTTCAGTTGTTCGCAACAGTCGGTGCGCGACTTGAGTAGCGCGCATTTCAATCATTCTCGAGAAAAGCATGAGCACCGAAAACGACAGTTAACCGAGTCAAGATCCAGTCAAGGAAAGTTGAAGTCATGAAAAGATAGAGAACGCGTGTTGGATGTGAAGTTGATGGAAAAAACTTTTTTACTCGGAGTAAAAAGACGCGAGACATGAGCGAAATCCAGATCCAAAGGATCGTCAGGGGGACATTTTTACGAGACGTTTCGATATTCAGAGCGCGCGAACTGTACCATGTGGTTCAACGGAAAGATCCTATCGCCGTTACATTGATTCTCAAAGCCTGGAGACTAATAATAATCGCCTTCGGCGATTCATCGTCGTTGCTGGCTCGAATCGCTTGAGATCATTGATGTCTCAATCGCGGTAACGACCGGTCGAATCTCACGTGAAACGTGGTGTCGCTGCGCCCGATCGCGATGCATCGTTGAACACTGGATAGAAACCAGCTGTTGTGCAGTTTTCCAGCGACGAACTTTCAACAATTTCGAAATCGCGCTCGCTATAATGATGTAAAGTGCTCCGCGAAACACGAAGACGAAATGATATGCAACAGAAGGCTGTTGTTACTGGCGCCTCAACGGTAGAAAAACGCATTGTCCCGACCACTCGGAACCTTCGGAGAAATTCGACGATTGGAGGAGAAGATTCAACCTCTGCTATTGCAGAATTCCAGACTGCTATTTCAAAACCGAGAGCAAAAGAGTCGATAATTACGAGTATTCGGTGAACGAGTTCGATAACGCGAAAGATGACGAAGATGATGCGTGCAAGAAGCCCGAGAGCGAGGATCAAGACGAAGGACAAGCTCAACAACAATTTTTACAGAAGCGAAAGAAAACCTATAATAACATTATCAAACGGTTGACGTCCGACTCACGATCAGGAGAGACATCAGAAACATCGAGACGAACGGATATACGAAGCGTGGCAGCTTCGAAAATTTCCAAGTCGAGGAACCTCACCAGGTCGGTGAGTCGCGACTGTGGAAACATCGCCGGCCTTCTTTATGTTAGCCATCGCTCTTCGAGCAGATTTGACAAATATTTACCCGGCAAACTAGTCGAGCATAAATTGTCGAAGAATATTAGCAGCCTCGTG